CTGTAGCACCAGATACAGCAAGCAGCAGCAGCAGAGCAGAGAAATCGTGGCAGAAGAACCAGGAGACTGGCAGGAGACCAACAGGAGATGGTGTGATGGGGCTTGCTAGTGGAGTAGGGTCATTCCAGGCACTTGGTAGAGCTAGGTCTGCCGACCCACAGAGCTAGAGCTGAGCGCCTTCAGGTCTAGGTTTACTGGCGGAGTGGTGTGCCTCTGGGCACTTATCAGCAGAGCTAAAAGAGCTTTGTAACACTTGCCTGAGCAGGGCAGAGGCCGGGCCAAGTGGCCGAGGGACCAAGGGCCAGGGAGATACCTGCCTGCAGGCACAGCTGAGAAGAGGCCATCCTGATCAAAGAACTATATACTGAGCATTCCTGAACTAGAATTGTAACCTGTTACTTCCCTAATAAACCCTGTAACTGTTGAGTATGGTCTGTATGTCACCATTGCAACGAATTACTGAATGTAGCAGAGAAGTAGAAAGTGTCATGGGGGGGATGGGTGGAGTCAGGACTGGTAAAGATGGCAGAGAGAGGAGGTATGTCTGACCTCCACCTCATAGCAATCAGCCTTGGGCTGTTGATCTTGATTCTCCTTCTCTCCTTCCCCCTTGTGAAGTTAGAGGAGTTCAGATGCCTCCATCAGGCCATTTTTACAGTAAACCAAAGTCTCACCATCCCAGCTACTAAGGATAATTCTGGTTGTCTTTCTTCTAAGACTAATTTTTTTGTTTTTCTGGCAGTCCACGGTATGTTCAGTATTCTTTACCAACACAATTCAAATGTACTGATTCTTCCTGTCTTCCTTTTCCACTGTCCTGCTTTTACATGCATACAAGGTGGCTAAAGAAATCATGGCTTGGGTCAGATGCACCTTAGTCATCAAAGCAACATCTTTGCTTTTAAAAACTTTAAAGAGGTCTTTTGCAACAGATCTGCCCAACACAGTATGTCATTTGATTTCTTGACTGCTGCTTCCATGGATGTTAATTGTTGATCCAAGGAGAATAAAATCATTTGGCAACATCAACTTTTTCTCCATTTATCATAATGTTGTAAGGATTTTTGTTTTCTTCACATTCAGGTGTAATCCATACTGAATAACTTTGTCCTTCATCAGTAAGTGCTTCAAGTCATCTTCATTTTTGGCAAGCAAGGCTGTGTCACCTGCATTTCTCAGGTTGTTAATGCGTTTTCCTCCAATCCTGATGTTGCATTCTTCTTCATATACTCCAGCTTCCTGAATTATTTGCTCAGCATACAACTGAATAAATAAAGTGAAAGGATACAACCCTGCTGCAAACCTTTTCTAATTCTGAACCATACAATATCCTCTTGTTCCGTTTGAATATAACTGTGTTGGCAATGGGGTAATGAAAACCTTGATCCATGTACAGGTTTCGCATGAGCATAACTTTTCTAGAATTCTCAATCTTTGCAATGTTATCGATAATTTGGTATAATTCACACAGTTGAATGCCTTCACATAGTTGATAAAACACGGGTATACATCTTTCTAGTATTCTCCGCTTTCCCGCTTTCAGCTAAGATCCATCTGACATCAGCAATGGTATCACTCATTTCACACCCTCTTCTGAATCTCGTTTGATCTTCTGTCTGCAGCTGTTTTTAAATTATCTTCTGCTTGTATCATACTAATGACAGAGTCTGACAATTTTCACATTCCGTTTGACCACCTTTCTTTGAAACGGGCACAAATACGGCTCTCTTCCGGTTGGTTGGGCAAGCAGCTGTCATCCACATTTCTAGAAATAGACAAATGAGTACTTCCAGCATTGCATTCGTTTACTGAAGTAGCTCAACTGGTATTGCCAATTCCTGGAGCCTTGATTTTGCCAATGCCTTCAGTGCAGCTTTAACTTCTTTCAGTACAAGTGGTTCTTAATCATATGCTACCTCCTGAGATGGTTGCGTGTTAATCAACTCTTTTTGTTACAGTGACTGTGTATTCCCTCTATTGTCTTTTGATGTTTCTGTATCATTCTTTTTTTTTGCCCATAGAATCCTTTAGTAATGCAACTGAAGTACTGCATTACCTCCTTCGCAACTGAAGTAATGAAAAACTGAAGTAATATATTAGGATATCTGTTTCCCATATACCACTGCCAACACAGTTTTATTACCAAACCTTGAATAATGAAAACTGAAAAATGGTATCACCGGGTGGTTTTACTGTGCATTTCTTCCCATGGGTGAAGCTGGACATTTTTCATATATTTAACAACTATGATTTCCTTTTCTATAAATTGTCTTTTATATCCCTTGCTCAATTCTATGCTGGGTGGTTGGGCTTTTTCTTATTGATTACTGGAACTATTTATATAACTCAAAATACATATGAATTGCATACTGATCACTAATTTTTAAAACTGTTTTACCAAAGTATAATATACATACACAAAGTGTATGTAAGTATACAGCTCAATGAATTTTCACTATCTGAACACATCTGTGTAACGAACACCCCAGATCAAGAAACAGAACACTGCCAGCACCCAAAAAACCCCTCAATCTTCCTTCGAGTTACTCCCTGCCCATCCAAAGATAACAACTATCCTTACTTCTTACTCCATGGATCAGTTGTGCATTTCCTTTAACTTTATAAATACAATTATATAGTCTACCTTAATATCTTAGCATCTGCTGCAATATCTGCAGCACTATGCCTGCCTTATTTCACTCAACACACTTGTGAGAGCCATCTGTGTTGCTGTGAGTGTCCGTGTACCACACGTTCCCACTGCTATGTAGCATTCCAATGCATGAATAAACACAACCCACTCAACTGCAGATGGGCATCTGGAAGGTTTCCAATTTAGGGACTGATAAGAAAAATACTGCAATAAATATTTTAGTGTATGTCTTTTGGTGAATATATACACCCTATCCACTGAGTATATACTTAGGTGTAGAATTACTGGGTCATAAATTATGAAATTCATAAAATTCATCTTTACAAGACACTGCCGAACAGGTTTCTAAAATGGCTATACAATTTACATTTCCACCAGCAACATATAAGAATTCCACAACTAAGTGGAAAAAGTCCATATCCACCATTCCATCTGTACCCTCATTGTACTTTCTAAATCAAAATACTATTGAACAAGTTCTCCTTGGAGTTCTACTGTCCTATGGCCACCATATTCTATTTTCTTCTTATATCTCAGATGCTGTTTTAATGACCCTAATCTAATGTCAGCTCTGATGGCTTAGTGGGTAACAGCTTGGCTGCTAATCAAAAGGGCAGCAGTTCAAATCCACCAGCCGCTCCTTGGAAACCCTATGGGGCAATTCTACCCTGTCCTATAGGGTCACTATGAGTCGAAATCAACTCGACGGCACCTAACAACAACAACAATCTAATGTCTGCTCTGAAATGCAGAAGTCACAAAGAATGCGTCATCAAATACCTTGTGATCTTATTCTCGATGGCTTCATCTATTAAAATTTAAACTACCACGTCTATGTACATTATTCCTAAAAATGTTATCTCTAACATTTCTAACCCTTATTTCCAACTACTGAATATTTCCATCTCAAGCCACAATCATCCAAAAATCTAATTTCTCAATTTCCCCCTCGAGAAATGGTACTGTCATTTTCCCAAGTAATTCAGGCCACAACCCTCAATCTTTTCTTGTCTCTCTACTATCCCGATACCCAGCCACCGAACCCTATCCATTCTACTTCGTGTCCTACATCAGCCACTTTCTTTTATTTCTCACTGTGACACCTGGCTTACTATAACATCCTAATGATCAACGCCAGAAGAAAGTTCACAAACCAAAGGAAAAACAAGCAAGACTTCAGTGACTCCCTACTGCTGACCATGCAAGCCTCAACTCTTGGCATGGTATCAAAGCTCTACCCACTCCCCAGCCCTAGTTCACGTCTTCAGCTTTATGTCTTCATCTCTTATCTTGCCATAAATGCCAGCCACATTGGACTACTTACCATTCTCAAAACATGCCCATGCTTTCCCACCTCGGTCTCTTTTCATTGGGTGTTCCATTTGGAATTTCTCATGCCCACAAATGTTTATCTGTTGAAATTCTACCACAAAAGTCAGCTCCTATACTAAATTCTTCTGCTACCCACTCATGCAAAAGATCTTTCTCCCTCCTCTGAACTCCAAAAACATTTGGCTTGTCTCTCATGATGCTTATCATTGTATTCTGTATTCTTATCTTATTCTTCTTATTTGATTGACAGTTTCTTAAGGACTGCAATAATGCCTTATTCATTTCTGTACTTCACATCAGTGGGCATTTAGAAGCTTAGTACAAGCAGCAGTTTAAAAAAAAAAAAGCTTCCTCTGGCACCTTAAACCAAAAAAAACACCCAAACCCACTGTCGTCGAGTTAAAAATAAGACTGAGCTTGACAGTCCCAAGTGCCTATCCTCGTTTGAGGTTACAGAGGTGCTCAGGTACTGGGGGCCTCTGTGGCACAGCAATGCCTCCACAGACTAAGGCTTAAAATGCCATGCAACAGCATCTGCAGACCTCATCCAGTTTATATCTCCACTGTCAAAGGTTCTGCTAATCAACAGATGTACTTGTTTCTTCTAATGCTCTCATTCTTTGAGAATTATGTTATCTTTTTTGTCACTTTTCTATCACACTTCTTAGCTTTTACTCCAAATGGACTGCCTTTTGTAATCACTTGTTTATCAGAATACTTTTTGTTCAGGATAGAATTTGAAACGTGACTAAGTAAGCCCTAAAGTCCCTTCCAATTCTGTAATACTGTGACTAAAGGAGAAGTGTAGAATGTTATTCTGACCCCCTGTCCTGATAAAGGAAAAAGCTCAATGCATTCTACAGAATTAAGACTGACTCAACCCTTTGCTCCTATAAACAGAAATGAGTATTTATATATTATATATTCCAGAAGGGATTTGATGTGGCTGACCAATATATACAGGGTCATTTCAGAAACACCATTGAAAACAGGGTAAATTTATCAATAAACTTACAACCAGATCTGAAGTCTTCATTCTCATTCATCTCATCAGTTAGAGACACATTTAAATCTTGCTCTTTATTAAATGATGTATAATAAGCAAGATCAGTTACCCATTTGCCCTCTTCATTTTGATAGACCACACTCTGTGGCAGATCCATTTCTAAAAAACAAAATATTAAAAAATATCCAATGATACATGTAACATATAAAACGATATAGCATTCTCAAATATTTTTTTCTACTTGACTGTCTTAGTTATCAACAGTGTTAAAGAGTGCCAACAACTAGTTAGAAAAAGGAAAATCTATTTCCCCAAAAGAAAAGCCACCCTGAATCACAGTAAAAGTCTACAATAGAGAATAAGGGAGAAAGGAAAAGAAGCCAAGGACTTAGAAAGGTACATTTCTACTACACCTCTGATTAAAGATGGCATTTTTGAGCTACAATTGTCCTGTACTAATACATTTTAAAATCTTTCAAATCTACAAAACATTTGATATTTCACTACAAAATTATGCAAAGTTCATGTGAAAATACATTCTACCCAAAACATACAAACACTTTCTGTATTTCTTTACTTCTATTTAAAAGAAAAAAAAAATACCACCACTTACGGTCTTTACTCTTTTCAATGGACTCGTAACAGTCACATGTTCGCCTTTCAGTGGCTGGTGACCACAGAATATCAGTGGACTTAATCCCATTGTCATCAACAGGCTTCAAAGATGTTATATCCACATTTTTTTTATTGGACACTCTGGGAGTCTCAGGGTGTAAACATCCATCCAGGTGCAAAACTGCTTCTGAATCTGATGCCAAATGCTTATTTTGATGCAGAGACTCTGCCCCCTGCTTCAAGGGCCCAGTCAAGCCCAAATCACCCTTCTCAGCATTTGTGTCATGAAAATAAACAGGGTTAAGTTTCACATCAGTAGCCCTGCTAGTCTTCACCAGAACTTCATCTCTTGTGCTTTCCTTTAAAAATCATAATAGAGTAGCAGTAAATCTTGTGTTTTTCATGACTAATTCTAAAATTTTATGGGAAAAAATTACACAGTTGGTATAAAATGTTATATATAATGAAAACATAGACTACATAGTATTCAGTGTATTCTAAACTATATATGAACCAACATTATCTAATTTATCTAAACCAAAATTTAGAATGTGGTCATAGCAAATGCATACATCAATATTTAGACACCAAAACCTGGTCCTATGTGCCCATTACACTAAAGGAAATTAGAAATATTAGTGTAATTTTAACAATTATCACTAAAAGTGTCTACAAGGTTAGTAAGCCCCGTTAGTACAACCAGCATCACTAACATTAATATGAGTAAGTCAACGAACGCACAGATATTAACTCTTCTAACAGGTGTGAAATAGCATATACTACTAGTATATTACTTTGATGAGGCCAACAACAATTTCATCAGACACTTCAAATTAAGCCACGCTTCCAACACGATTTCACAAACGGCACTTCTTAGTCTTTCCAAAAATGACAACTGCTGGGAAGGGGCTCAAATGCCTGGAATAGTCTTTCCAAATATTCAGCTACTATCATTCTTTCAAGTGCCAATAAAACCTGCAACTGCAATCTTTTCCGTTATGATGAGACAAGTGGTGACAAAAATAGCCTTACAGGCAAAGTTTTAAAGTTAAAATACTAAAAGAAGATAATGCTGTATTACAAAAAAAAAAAGTTGACTTTGGGATAAGGAAGTCATAGGCTCAAATCCTAGTACCACTACCTTATATCAAAATAAATTCCAAATGGCTTAAAAATTTAGATATAAAAGTATTAGGAAAAAATACAGATGAATAGCTTTATATTCTTCAGTAAATAACAGTATAGTGAGTTAAACTGTACTCCCCAAAAAGATATGTCTCAGTCCTAATCCCAAATACCTGTGAATGTGACCCTATTTGGGAACAGGGTCTTTGCAGATGCAATTAAGGATCTCAAGATGGCATCACAAAGTAGTGGGACCCTAAATCCAATGACTGGTGTCCTCACAAGAGAAAGTAGAGGGAGATTTGGGACAGAGACACCGAGGGGAAGGCCATGTGAAGATGGGGACGAAGACAGTATGCTGCCACAAGATAAGCAATGCCAGAAGCCACCAGAAGCTGGAAGAGGTAAGGAAGGATTCCTTGATTTTGAACTTCTGGCCTCTAGAGCTGTGAGAGAATAAATTTCTGTTGCTGTAAATCACCAAGTTTGTGGAAATTTTCTACAGCAACCACATGAAACTAATTCAAACACTAAAGCTAAAACCCGTAAAGATCATCATATCTCCTTAACTTAAAGAGCTTGTAGGAGTCCTGGGTAGTACAAACGGTTAACACACTCAGCTGCTAATCAAAAATTTGGGGGTTTGAGTCCACCCAGAGGTGCCTCAGAAGAAAGACTTGGCAATCTACCTCTAAAAAAATCAGCCATGGAAAACCGTGTGGAGCACAGTTCTATTCTGACACAGATGGGGTCACCATGAGTCGGAGTTGACTCGACAGCAACTGATACTGGAGAGAGCCTGAAAAATCAATATTTAAAATGTGAATACCCCAAAAGAAAAAAAGGTAAAGGAGACAAATAAATACTATTTAAAACTAGATACACCTACTCCTCACTTGCCAACATAGTTAGGTTCCAAAGACCAGGTCATTATGCAAAATTCACAAAATGGAAGATGACTACATCATTACATAGCTGCCAAATTATATCATTACATAACTGTTAAACCACTGAGAATCACAGTCCAGCCAAGGTGACACATAACCTTAACCATCACAGCCAGCGTTACTCTCGCCTCGCACCTCGGCGTTTGTTACTGTTGGACGTACATCATCGATATGCAAAATAGTCGGATAGTAGATTTTTTACTACTGTTATAGATGCAAAATGTTGGATGACAACATAGCTGATAAGTGAGGAGCAGGTGTAATCGTTTTTCATATATGACACTAGCAAAGATTAAAAAGAACCAAAATATGAGAAACTAGCTTTCTCCCCCATAAACAACTTAAAAGAATCTTGAATACAAAGAATGCAGTTGTTCTGTTAGTTTTTAAGCCTAAATACAGGGCTTTGTTTACACTTTAACAGTGTAACACTCTGAGCAAAACTAAGGAGTTAGGAAGTGTGAAAAGGGGGAAAAAAAGGCATTCCAAGTTCTCCTAAGAGGTAGGATTTCAAGAGGAGGTAATAAAAGTACTCTACAGTTCTCACCTTACTGGGCTACAAGGGAAGCAAGAAGGGCAACAGAGTATCTTGAGGGAGTAAGAGTGCATCTTGGGAGGGAAAGAGTTGGTATCGTCTCAAACAGTAGTTGAGAAATAAATGTCTGATAATGAATAAAGAGAAAGAAAGGCTACCCTCCAAAGAAAAGAAGAACAGCATACTTCATAAAATCTAATCATTAATTTTAAGATATGTCATTATTTTATGTACCACTAAGGAAGAGAAATTTAAGCTATGACACACTAGAAACATACTGATTTCAGAAGTATTAAAATACGCAAAAAAATATATATCTTAGAATCAATAAAAAGTGACAAAAAAACTTCCAAATAAACAAAGAAGAAAAATAGGAGGTGAAGGGAAAGGGTAGATTCACACAATAAAAAATTTGGAAATGAAAAACAAACTGAAGTAAACAAAACAAAACAAAAAATCAAGAATATCAATAATTACACTAAACGTGAAAGGATTAATTTGTTCAGGCAACTTCTCGATAAGTAAAATATTCCAGTATATAATAAAGCACTATACTGTAGAATACAATTGCTGAATAGAAGTTTAGATAAATTAATACAGTCTAGAGTTATTAAGGAGCCCTGGTGGTACAGTGGTTAAGAGCTCGACTGCCAACCAAAAGGTTGGCAGTTGAAATCCACCAGCCGCTCCTTGGAGACCCTATGAGGGAGCTCTACTCTGATCTATAGGATTGCCATCAGTTGGAACTGACTTGACAGCAAGGGTTTTGGTTTTGGTCTTAGTTTAGGGTTATTAAAAGGAGACCCTGGGTGGCACAAACAGTTAAGTGCTTGACTACGAGCTGAAAGGGTGGCAATTCGAACCCACCCAGAGGTGCCTCAGAAGTCAGGTCTGCTGATCTGCCTCTGAAAAGTCACAGCCTTGAAAACTCTATGAATCAGTTCTACTCGGCATACCTGGGGGGACTGCTATGAGTTGGAATCGACTTGACAGCAACTAACAACAACATTTATTGAAAAGCAACCAGGAACTTGATCTAACACTTGAAAGATGGTTATAATCTGTATTGGGGAAAGAGAGGAGAGGAAAAGTAGGAAAAATTTGTAAAAGAAATGTAAATGAGAAACCCAGGTAATATGGAGTTAAATTATACAGCACCTTAAGGACTACTGAAACATAGAAACGTAGAAAATATCATAATCACCGTAACAAGATTAACCTGGCAGTGGCAAGTAATGACAAGAGTCGTAAAAACACTGCAGATGAGGAAATAAACGAAAGGTGGTATTAAGCACCTTGAACTTGAATAGTGGTAAAGGAAATACACAGAAAAGGGTATATCTAAGACACAGTCTTGAGGAAATACTACTGGGATTCAGCTTCTCAGTACCTGACCTTTATCTTCCTTAAAATGACAATCCCATAACCTGTTGCTTTAATGCACTCAAAGGATTATTGTGAGGATAAAATGACTGTCTACATACAAAAGCAAGCAGCACTGGTCACACGATGATTAGCTGCTTGGCTGCTAACCGAAAGGTTGGAGGTTCAAACCTACCCAGTGGCCCCATGGGAGACAGACCTGGCGATCTACTCCCATAAAGATTACACCTTAGAAAATCCTATGGGGCAATTTGACTGTCACATGGGGTCACTATGAGTCAAAAATCAACTCAACAGCACACAACAACATATATACATACGCACATACACAAAAGGGGACAAAGGAGAGTAAGAGTCAAGAATGACTACAAGTTTCAAGTACAGGAGAGTTGGGGTACCATTAACAAACAGAAAAAACTGAAATCATAAAAAGCAATTTTTTTGAGCAAGGTAAAAATCAGTTTGCATGTTTTATGTAATGGCTGGACATGGAGCTAAAGAACTTTTCAAATGAATAATCTAAATGCAAGTCATTATTTAAATTTAAGAAAATGTGCAACTGTGTACTACATATCATCTTAGTGATACATACAAACACACACACAAACTTTCTCAGTAGTGATTTTTATCTTCTTTATACTTTGTCTATTTTCCAGAAATCAACGTAATTGTTGCTTCGAAAAAGAACTCACATCATACAAACACAAAATTTTCATGGAAAATTTAAAGAAAATGCATATAAACTTACTCTGCCATGATATGGAACAATACCCTTCAAACTTTCTGCCCCTCTTTTCTCTTTTTCAATTCTCCAGGTACTAGAGGAAAATGGGAACACACCATCTACATGCCTTCTACTATCTCCAGTTCCTACAGAATTATCTGAAAATAAAAGAACTAAAAAAATTAATGAAGCAATGTCAAAACTTAGTAATCTATAATTGTTTCTTGCTATTCAAATTATTTCATGTAAACTTAATACTTAGCATTCATATGACAAATTTAGTAATTTGCATAGAACAGAAAGTAAGCATCAGTAGGAGGCAATAGTAAACATGGTAAACTGCTACCATACAAAGATAGCTCATTTCTAATTCTCAGATGTCTGAGTAGAATACAATCCAACACTTCAACCAAGCAATATATAGTACACTATTTCTAGTAACACCAATTTACTCAGGTATCTCTATTAATAGCACTTTTGAAAAGTTTTAGACTGTTTAAAGATTTGAGGGGATACAGTAGGGGGAGAATAAGACCACCCGAGTTGTGTCACATAATGTCCCTCCACACCAAGGGGTCATTCTGTCCAGAGTTTCTCATAACATGGCTGCAGCATTTCCATCTGTTGGTCACACCCTACCTCCCACAGAAACTGTAAACCACTGTAGGAGACAGAAGGCTCCAGACTTAAAGTCTGGCCTCTAGTTACTTCTTCCATTATTACCCATCTTGCCCACATGTTCCAGTTTGTTTCTCAGAGGCTGGCAGATCCAGACACACAACTAACTGTATGATGGACTCAAGGGGAGACTCCCAACAACGTCCCAGCAGAGTTGCCAGCCTACCCGGGTTTGTTGAGATGCATTATTTTCCAACTGAATCATGGAAAGTGCCTGCTCATTCTCTACTCTGCCATTTGTTCATCTTTATTGCTGAATGGTATTTTATTATATGGATATAGCACACATTTATTTAATGTTCACTGGTTGATCAATTTTCGGATTGTTGCCTGTTTTGGATCCCTGTGAATACTGCGCTATGAACATTTGCATCAAATACTTTATGCAGATTTATTTATTTTTCTTAGCCAGATATGTAGGAGTATAATTTCTGGGATATATGATATTAATTTTTTTAAGAAACTGCTCAACAGTTTTCCAACATCTCTGTACTATTATATATTCTCCTTGCATTGTATGAGGGTCCCAGTTTCTCCACATACTCACTAATTCTTGATATTGCTGAACTTTTATATTGTATTCCAGAGGGGTTGTAAACCCTATTGCCGTCGAGTCAATTCCAACTCATAGCAACCCTATAGAACAGAGTAAAACTGCACCATAGAGTTTCCAAGGAGTGCCTGGTGGATTCAAACCACCAACCTTTTGGTTAGCAGCTATAGCTCTTAACCACTACGTCACCAGGAAACTCCTGGTGGGTTTCCAGAGGGTGTGTAGTGGTACATAATTGTGGTTTAAATTTGCATTGCTCTGATGACTACTGATGTTGAGAATCTTTTAATGTGTTTATTACCCATTTGGTATTTTATTTGTTAAAATGTCTACTCCTCTATTTTGCCTGTTTCGTTAACTGTCTTCCTATTTATGAATTGTGAGGCTTTCTTATACATTGTAGGTATAAGACATATTTTATTCTAGTCCATTATGGCTTCTCTTTTAATTTTCTTATGATGTAATTTGATGAATAAATGATTTTAATTTTAATGAAAAAAAAAAAGATTTGAGGGGACCGAAGGGTTAAAATATACTAAATCATACCAAAGAAATTTTTTTTTTTAATGTAAAGTCAAGCACAGAATTTAAAAACCAAGGAATCATATGCCAATACTTACTGGTCCCAGGCAGACAAACAACAGGGCCTTCCTGAGACTCTTTGTGGCTCATTTCAGAATTTCCTGCAGCTTGTGAGGCAAGGGAGGTCAGAGAGCTATTATTTTCTGATTGAGATCTACAGGTTAGGCTACTGTTCTCATTTACCTGTTGAAAAAATATTTTAACTCTATTAACTTTTCAAATTAGTAATAAACCTTTTGAGGGGGAGACAGTGGAAAGGGAGCAGAGAATTTCTGCTTTATGGAAGGATGCCAACTAATACATGTAGAAGGAACTAGAAAGACCACCATCACAGCCACTAATGTAACAACTCTTTCAGGGAAGCCTCCACAATTATACTCAAACTGTTTCCTGAAAGGCTGGTGGGGAATGGTATGCTTACATGATCTCACCATAACATCCCACAAATTACTTATTAATAACAAAGTGGGAAAGGTTCCTTCACCAGGAGACATCTGGCTGATACTACCTTAATCAAGTGTTATCAAACATGGCATCACCTACAGTGGGACAGACATGGTGTGTCTCCTGATGTGATGCAATGACAAGTACACAGTACTGCCTACATTTACTTCACTCTCATCATGAAGGAAAAGAGCATTCAGATATACCTAGATTATAGGTCATTCTACAAAACATTGGGCCTAGATTACTACAAAAAGTTTAATTTCATGAAAGAACCACTCCAAATTAAAAAAGAATAAAGAGACAAGACAATCAAATTGAAGTCTAATCCATGATTAAATCCTGGATCAAAATAAATAAATAAATTTAAAAAAGGACATTTTTGGGGACAACTGGGTACATTTGAATATGGATTGTATTATTAATTAAAATTACTGTATCAAAGTTAAATACGCTGAAGTGATAACAGAATTGTGATTATGTAGAAAAATGTCCTTATTTGCAAGAAATAAATTAAGTATTGGGAGGACATATCATAATAGCTACAAGTTTGAAATAAGTCAAGGAGAAAAAAGTGTATTTATGGAGGGAGAAAGAAAATACAATTGCAGCAAAATGTTAACAATTGGTTAATCTGGATAAGAACTATACAGATATTCATTATACTAGTCTTTCATTTTTTTGTAGGTGAGGGAAAGGTAAGAGAAAGTAGGAAAGGCTGGGAAAGGTATTTCTAATCAACCCATATCTGAAAAAAAATAGAGTCCAAAGAAAATGAAAGGCTTAAATAATTAAATTACTTAAAATCAATTAATTTGATTACTGGTTCAATGAGACCAGTAATAATTTTCTAAAGTCAAATCTCTGAAAAAACCATAAAGACTGGAACATACCTGACTATGATCACTTGTAGGTAACTTAAAATGATTTTCTGCAATTTCGTGTCCTTCTATGTCTTCATATATCATTCCTGGAATTGTCAGTTGTTCAAAATAGGCCTCCAAATGATCATCATAAAACTCTTCATCATCAATATCATCATCTATTGATAAAATGAAGGGGAAAAAATAGGCTTTAAAGTAGTCAAGAAGGCTAATAAAACACGAATGGGTCAATGGTCTATGTATTCTTGTTTTAACATTTGAGGTTAAAAAAACTCTTAAAAGCGTAGTCGATGTCACTGAACTGTGCACGCAGAAATTTTTGAAATGGTGTATCTTTGGCTATGTATATTTTCACCAAAAAAAAAAA